CAAGGAGAGGGTAGTGAGAGTGAATGAAATGGGTTGGGGGGGGGTTGAAAGAGAGGGTCAGAAAGAGAGACAAACAGTTATCTATTCTCCTGTGCATACAACGCCACTGTTGTCTTGTGTGTGTCAGTGTGTGTGTGTGTGTCAGTGTGTGTGTGTCAGTGTGTGTGTGTGTCAGTGTGTATGTGTCAGTGTGTATATGTCAGTGTATGTATGTGTCAGTGTGTATGTGTCAGTGTGTGTATGTGTCAGTGTGTGTGTGTCAGTGTGTATGTGTCAGTGTATGTATGTGTCAGTGTGTATGTGTCAGTGTGTATGTGTCAGTGTATGTATGTGTCAGTGTGTATGTGTCAGTGTGTGTATGTGTCAGTGTGTGTGTGTCAGTGTGTATGTGTCAGTGTATGTATGTGTCAGTGTGTATGTGTCAGTGTGTATGTGTCAGTGTATGTATGTGTCAGTGTGTATGTGTCAGTGTGTGTATGTGTCAGTGTGTGTGTGTCAGTGTGTATGTGTCAGTGTGTGTGTGTGTGTGTCACTATGTATGTGTCAGTGTGTGTCAGTGTTTGAGTCAGTATGTGTCAGCGTGTGTGTGTGTGTCAGTGTGTATGTGTCAGTGTGTATGTGTCAGTGTGTGTATGTGTCAGTGTGTCAGTGTATGTATGTGTCAGTGTGTGTGTGTCACTATGTAAGTGTCAGTGTGTGTCAGTGTTTGAGTCAGTATGTGTCAGCGTGTGTGTGTGTGTGTGTGTCAGTGTGTACTCACACTATGGAATGTGGTCATCTCCTGAATATAGGAGGTGGCTGCGCGCGTAGACACCAACACACTGTTGTCGTGTGTGTGTGTGTGTCAGTGTGTGTGTCAATGTGTGTGTGTCAGTGTGTATGTGTCAGTGTGTATGTGTCAGTGTGTGTGTCAATGTGTGTGTGTCAGTGTGTATGTGTCAGTGTGTGTGTCAGTGTGTATGTGTCAGTGTGTGTGTCAGTGTGTGTGTCAGTGTGTATGTGTCAGTGTGTATGTGTCAGTGTGTATGTGTCAGTGTGTATGTGTCAGTGTGTATGTGTCAGTGTGTACTCACACTATGGAATGTGGTCATCTCCTGTATATAGGAGGTGGCTGCGCGCGTAGAAACCAACACACTGTTGTCGTGCGCCTCCACCAGATCCTGAACCAAAAGCTCCAGGTCTTCGCCGTCCGGACCAAACTGAAAAAGAAAATGGGCCATTTTTACAAATCCTGGCAAAAAATCTACCATTTTTAGGGAAAAAATCGACCATTTTTACAAATCCTGCCAGAAAATAAACCATTTTCTTTATAATGGCTAAAAATCATCCGTTTCTATCAAAAGTTATTTTAAATCAATCGTGATAGAAAATCATCGACCCTTTTGACCAATCATCACAGAAAATAAACAATTTTACCAGTCGATCCCAGAAAATAATTAATTTTTAACAGTCGTAACAAAAAATGAACCGTCGCTGAAAAACGAATATTCTTTACCGATCGAGAGAGAAAATCGACCCATGGAGACAGTTCTGAAGATTCACCATTTTCACCCATCGTTGTGGCACAATGGTCTTCTTTAGTTGGAGTAAGAGTTTCACGGCACTTGCAACACAAAAAGGTCATATATAAGTGCCGAAGAGTAGGGCCGTTACAAGACAGTAACAAACACAAAAAGAAGGAGGGGAGATTTCTGTTCTTTTCCAAGCGCAAGAGTTTTCACTCAATTTAGAAAATTAAGAAGCACATCTTTAAAAAAATGCATACCTTCTTTTGTCTTTCCTCTCACCCCTTTATTCGTTTCTTTCCCCTCACCCATTCATTTGTTCCTTTTCCCTGAGCCCTTCATTTGTTCCTTTCCCCTCACCCCTTTATTCGTTCCTTTCCCCCTCACCCCTTTATTCGTTCCTTTCCCCCTCACCCCTTGATGCGTTCCTTTCCCCCTCACCCCTTCATTCGTTCCTTTCCCCTCACCCCTTTATTCGTTCCTTTCCCCCTCACCCCTTTATTCGTTCCTTTCCCCCTCACCCCTTGATGCGTTCCTTTCCCCCTCACCCCTTCATTCGTTCCTTTCCCCTCACCCCTTTATTCGTTCCTTTCCCCCTCACCCCT